CCGGGATCCGAATCCGGGCCACCAGTAGCAGAGCACGCACACTTAACCGCTAAGCCACGGGGCCAGCCCCCTCTCTGTTCCTTTGAACTCATTTTTCGTTTCATTTTACTTGCTTTTTTTCATTTCTCTCCTTTTTGTTCCTTGCTATGTATTTAGCAGTGTCTCTTCTCCCTTTTGTTCCTTCCAGTTTCATCTTCATTTCTCTACGTTTTTTTCCTGAACTGTGCTAGTATATGTCTTCTTGTCTCCCTACTTCTCTCATAAGCTCTTGGACTTCCGCTTCGAGCTCTTGCTTTATAGTTTTTTTTTTAATTTTGCAGAATATTTTATAATTTTATCTGCTCCATGGCAGCACTTTTCCAGTGTGTAATCTTAGTCTACCTTTTGGTTTTCCTGTTTCTTTCCTAATTTTTTCTTGTGTCTTTATATAGATCCTCTGCAGATTTCATTTTTATAACTGAACCTTAAATAGGTGAGTTTTTCAGGGACCAGCTATTTGCAAGATGCTTGTTTAGGGGAGGCACCAAGTCTTTGTTGCAGGCTGGCTGCAGTTGTTCTCATGATTTAGGGTTCTGGGTGAATTTATTTACCCTTTATTTCTTTCCAGCCAATAGAGATAGGCATCTGTGAGCTTTTCCGCGATGCAAAGGCTATCTTCTCCGCTGCCAAGAGACCAACTCTGTGAGGCAAATATAGCTGGTTTGTGGAGTTTCTCATTCAGCCCCAACTCCAGGTCCAAGGAAGTTCCTGCCTTCCAAAAACAAAGAATGTTTTGTCCCAGAGGGTGTGTTCTTTACCTACAGGAAGTATATTTTTACAGGTCTTTCTGAGCTCTCCAGCCCACGTGTGCTCTCTGTGTAGCATCCTTCCTTCTTTTCCTTCTCTAAAAGAGAAGGAGCCCTTACTTGTGCTCCCTGCTTTTGACAGCTTTTCCACCTATTTTGGGGTCTGGGATTTTGGTTATCTTCTAGTTTTGTTGAAAATTGAGTTTGCATTTTTATTTATTTCTCCTTTTTGCACTTAGAACACATTTAAATAACATTTTAAAATTATGACTTCGTGATGCAATGTTCAAATCAGAAGTCTTAACTGATGTTTCCTTTTAACCAACCACTGATCCCTATGATATCCTCTATTAGGCCTTTTACTACACCTTCTCCATAAGGCCTCCACCACCACACTGTCATCCATCTTTGAGCATCTAAAGCCCAAGGAATAAGCTACTCAGACTTAGGAAAAGCCTTTCATTCATTCAACATGCCTACTCCACACTGGGCATTGTTCTAGGCCTTGGGGATAAAGCATGGAAGGATTCATATAAGATCTTTGACACACCAAAGGCAAGTCTTAAAATGATTCCACACGAGTAGGGGTAAGGGATGAATGGGGTGGAAGACACAGTTTGGGATTTTGAGGGAGTATGGTGGAAAGGGTAGAACGTGAGCTCTGGAGTCAGACCTAGATTCAGTGCTCAGTTCTGTTACTAATATACGTGACGTTGGGATAGTCTATTGACTTTTCCACGTATCAATTTCCTCATATATAAAATGAAGATTACGTTACCTAGCTCAGATGGATGTTGTAAAATTAAAATGTTACATGTAATGTGCTCAGCACATAGTGGATGCTCAACAAGTGCGACTTCCCCCCAGGAAAAAGGAGTTTGTTAAAAGAAGGAACAAATACTAGGAATACTGGTGTAGAGACCTATTTTTTTAATTGTGGTAAAATTGACGTAACTTAAAGTTTACCGTCTTCATTTTTAAGTTTACGATTCAGTAGTATTAAGTACATTTACATTTTTTGCACAACCTGTTTCCTCCAAACTCTTCATTATGAAACTCTATCTCCATTAAACAACAACTCCCCATTCCCTCCTCCCCTCAGCCCCTGGCAACTACCATTCTACTTTCTGCCTCTATGATTTTGACTACTAGGTGCCTCGTATAAGTGGAATCGCACCATATTTGTCCTTTTGTGTCTGGCTTATTTAACTTAGCATAATGTCCTCAAGGTTCATCCATGTTGTAGCATGTGTTAGAATTTTCTTCCTTTTTAAGGCTAAATAATATTCCATTGTGTGGGGCTGGCCCGGTGGCACAAGCGATTAAGTGCGCGTGCTCCGCTGCAGCGGCCCGGGGTTCGCCGGTTCGGATCCCGGGCGCGCACCGATGCACTGCTTGGCACGCCATGCTGTGGTGGCGTCCCATATAAAGTGGAGGAAGATGGGCATGGATGTTAGCCCAGGGCCAGTCTTCCTCGGCAAAAAAAAAAAA